CTGATGATGATGATGATGATGATGATGATGATGATGATGATGATGATGATGATGATGATGATGATGATGATGATGATGATGATTCATACATATCTCCCTATTCCCTTTTTTTAAAGAGGTCTTCAAGATACAGATAACTACATACACACTAAGAATCATTCTCTTTGCGATTTGTATTTTATCGTTAAAATATGTCACAACACGGTTTCTCTTGTCATTTTCAAAAGAACAGTATATGTATTAATCACAATTTTACAGCAGAGCCAAAAAAGCTGAATATTGTTACCAAGGAAACAGCATTTCATTTAAATGGAATAAGGAAGTAACTATCAAAATTGTATTGTTAAAAATATTCACTTGGGATGTTTGCAAAGAGTATTTCCCTAAAAAAAAAAGCTTTCATTTTTTGTAGGCTGCCTGTAAAATTATAAAAGCTTCATTTAATGTACTTTTGTAGCCCTACCTTAGAAGTACACACCACTTATATCTGCCCAGTACCCAGTTTTGCGAAACATGACGTTCAGAACTTTGAGTTTGGCAACATGTAAAGCTTTTTCGAATGCAGTTCTTTGAATATCTGGAAAACGACTCCGAAAAAATCTTACAATTTTGATAGAGCAAATAGAACATTTGGTTTTTTACCTCGTGGTCGTCGTAACTCAAAGCGGCCAAACATGTCACTCGGAACTTTATATTTGTTTTTTTGTTTTGTTTAGTATAGGGTTTTACGGCGCTCGCAACTGCATAAGGTCATATGAGCGCGCGGGACACACCTAATACTTTTTCGTTGGTAGGAAATTTTGAATTTTGCCCGGGTGGCGGCCGAAGCCTACTCTTATCGATTTTAGACCACCAAGGGATCTTTAACGTGCGCAACTTGCACACGGACCCTCCGAGATTTTTCGCCCTTGTCCGAGAAGGCTAGGTGTAGATCTTTCCTACCAGAAGATCAGGGGTGTGGCAGAAAGACAGCAGTTAGGAGGAGCCAAGGAGTAGCAGTAGAAAGGCTGCAGAAAGAGTCAGGAGCCCAGAGGAGGGGGCAAAGGAGGTGAGGGGTGGGGGCAGAAAGTGGAAATGAAAGCAGACAATAGAACATTGTTAGAGATCAGGAAAGGATGTGAAAGGAGACAATTTTAGAGAAGAAAATTTTTTGGTCGCTACCCGGAATCGAACCTGGGACCTTTGAATGAGAGGCCAACACCTTAACCTCTAGGCCACGAGAGCCCCACCTTTATATTTGTGAGGTAGCGAAATGACAGCAGATTTTTGGTCTGCTGTCGGACATAATGCCGTGTCCCCTACAGCCCAGAAGAGTTAACGATCTTTAAAAAAATAATAAATCGATTGGGGCAAACAACTTGGATAATCAAATAAAACACCGGGGGTAAAAACCAGATCCAGTTAAAGTTTTAAATGATTTTCCTCGTTAATGCATTTTTTAAAAATTGAACGCTCTTTTCCTCAAATGATCGTACGGACAACCCAGCTAAATCTAGTGCTATGTAAGGTAAAAGAAATGCTTTACTCACTATGAGATAAGAACCTACAAAATTTGAATGTCATTTTTCCCCATTTTCTTAATCAAAATGTGACGTATTTGTTTGTTTGCTTGCTTGCTTTTTTGTTTGCTTCTCTGTTTTAATTACTCTGGCGTTGACCAGATGACAAGGACATGTGGTTACTTAAGGGAGGCATTGCGCTGCCAAGAGCGACATGCTCGCAGCTAAAGGGATTTGAAAACAACAACAACAACAACAACATCTGTTTTTAATGGTCTTCAAACAGTATCACTCACTCGTAGATCCTTCCCTGGTTCCGCTTCTCGACAGTGGTCAGGTTGTAGGGGACATCACCGAACTTTACCTCATCGTAGGTCAAGGACTGACCACGGAGGAAGAAGCGGGTCCTGCCTGGGCGTCCGAAGCCCTCGGTGAACGGGACAGACTCGAGGCCTGGAAGGTTTGGAGGGGGGAGTAAGTTGTGGGGGGTGGGGGTATTAGAGTTGAGATGTGAGTGTGTGAGTCATTCGTATCTTCATTCATTTGTTTATTTATTTATTTATTTATTTATTTACTCGTCCAAACACTCCTTTATTCATTGACTGATGGTGACCAGTGACAGATAGATAGATAGATAGATAGATAGATAGATAGATAGATAGATAGATAGATAGAGAGAGAGAGAGAGAGAGAGTGAGAGAGAGACAGAAAGGCAGAAAGACAGACAGACAGACAGACAGGCAGAAAGACAGACAGACAGACAGACAGACAGACACACTGACAGATAGACAGACAGACAGACAGATAGACACACAGGCATACAGACACACAGACAGACAGACAGAGACATCATCAAGCAAAAGATAAACCCACAAACTCACCCAGCTCTTTGGTGAGCGCCTGGAGAATATTGTGAGCCCCTGTGATGTATCTCATGCCACCGATCTCCAGGTTCACGTCGGGTGTGTTGGGCAGCTGGTATGTGTACAGGCGACCTCCCACCCGGTCAGAGTACTCGAACACACCCACGTCTTTTCCAGAGTAGCGCATTTTGTAAGCTGAGTAGGCGCCTGAGGGACCGGCGCCTACGATGGCTATGTCCAGATTCTTGTCACATTGTTCTGTTCGTGTATGTGTGTGTGTGTGTGTGTGTGTGTGTGTGTGTGTGTGTGAGTGTGTGTGTGTGTGTGTGTGTGTATGTGTATGTGTGTGTGTGTGTGTTTTATTATTTGTTTGTTGTTGTTTATTTTTTATTATTTTTTTGGGGGGGGAAGAAAATAAAAGAGTGGAAGGGGGTTAAGGATAAAACGTGTAAGTAAAAAGTATGTAACAAGTTCAACTACAATTTTAATGTCTATAGTTTCTTCACTATGTGGCTTCGGTTGCCTCGTGGCTAGGCTCGCATGTCTGGCTGACTAAGCGACATTCCTAACAAGTGGTCAAATAATGTTAGTTTTTGTTATTCTATGAAATGTAGAAAGGACACCCTGCGAATTGTTGCTCTTACTTCTTTTTTTCTCTGCCTGACTTTTTTATGATGTTCAGTGTTGTGCGCAGACACTATTTCATTTGGCAAGCAGTGATTCTATTTTCATCGTGATTAGGTCTGGCACTGGTAAAATTATGTTGGTGAAGTGAAAATCTCAATCTCTGTGCCCATAGAAATGGTTGGATGAGAAAGACGGGGTGTAAGCTGAAAGGTGGCTGTGTTTGCTTTTAAAAATGTGTATTTCTATTTGTTTATATCTACAAACCCTATGGCCGGCGCCTCTATAAATAAATCATTGATGGTCAGGTCATCTACAAGCCCGTTTTCAGTTAAAAAGAAAGTGATGTTCAGTGTTCTGCGCAGACACTATTTCATTTGGCAAGCAGTGATTCTATTTTCATCGTGATCAGGTCGGGCACTGGTAACAATATGTTGGTGAAGTGAAAATCTCAATCTCTGTGCCCATAGAAATGGTTGGATGAGAAAGACGGGGTGTAAGCTGAAAAGTGGCTGTGTTTGCTTTTAAAAATGTGTATTTCTATTTGTTTGTATCTACAAAGCCGTTTTCAGTTAAAAAGATAAAAAATGCTGTCAGGAAATTCAAACTCCTTGGTCGGTATCAGTTGTGTGTTTTAAAGAGATTAACACAAAAGTTCAGGGAACTATGATTTCGGCATATTATGTTCATGACTTCTTTTTTTATCTGCTTATTTTCATGTCAAAGTCTCACAGCTGTTGTTCAGTCTGGTGTTGTCGATTTGACGCCTTTGTTGGTTTTGATTTCTAAAAAGGCATGAGTCGCCTACGAAGAGGAGAAACTCATTTTGGCTTTATGAGCTTTGGTTTGCTTCTTGCATTATTTTGTTCGTTGATAATAAAAAGGAGGTGAGATAAAACACATCCATGTCGCACTCCTGATATTACTTCTGTCCAGTTTAATCTTGCCTTTATTTGTTTAACTGAGCTTCTGCTGTTGGTGTAGAGAGCTCTAACATGGTCCGACAATTGTATTCTGATGGCATATGATTCACATGCTTTTCATACTTTGATAGTGTTGACTGTGTCAAAAGTCTTCTCCTGATCTATGAAGACAATGACGACTTACTTATTGTGCTATAGATAATTTTCCCGCATAGCTGTTGTAATACGAACACAGTATCCATGCATCCTCTTTCTTTGAAGTATCCGACCTGATTTTGACTCTCAAGTTCTCTCTATAGTAGGTCTTACAATTGTTTAATGATGCATGCATAATATTGTAATATCAGGCTGAAATGATACAAGTAATTAGCTAGCTAAAGTTCAAATAAGAATGCTCTTTTTTTGTAGTGTAGGTGTGTTTACATCCTTTCGACATTATTTAGATTATCTAGGAGGCAGGCTTCGACCCTGCCTCTCAGAGCCAACCCAGGCTGAGAGGGGTACAACAGCTCAGCTGAAAAACTCTGACATAAAAAAAAAAATCTCCACCCGAGAATCAAACTCAGGTCCTTCTTCACACGAAAGCAATGCCCCAGCCTAATCACAGACCCTGGCCATACGATTTGCAGCACAAAATGTTTTTAAGAGAACATATCATGCTAGGGGTGGGGGTGGCGGGGGGGGGGGGAGAGAATGGGGTTTGAAGCGCTACACTCTCAGCACTCACCGGCATCACAGGACTGCTGGGAATCGCAAACCCTACGGCCTGAGCATGATGTCACGAAGATCAAAAGGCCCAGCCCCAGGAACCTGACCGCCATCTCTGAGTGTGACGTCACCGGGCGTTACTTGATCTCCTTTGTGTTTTTATTCTCTGCTGTTTTGAGAGAATGACCAATAGAACGAATGACAGAATAATATGAAGAACTGTGTTGATGAATGAATCAACAATTGACAGAATGAAAGAAGAATTTAGTAGCTGAATTAATCAACGATTGACGGAACAAATAAAAAAAAAATTGGATACTGAGTGAACCCACGATATGTCTTATTATTGTCAATAGCCTCTGACACAGAATTCAGTGCATGTGTCACTAATGTGTATCGTGTAATTCATTTTTTCCCAAAACTGGAGTTAAAACCATGTTATTTCAAGGGCTCCATAATATGGGTGATGTTGTCCATTACGCGGTGCTGGTGTATATTCCCAATTATTGTAGGTCCTTTGGTTGATGAGAGCCTAATCGCTCTGTTCAAGGGATTCTGCTCTGTCCTTTTTTGCTCCATCAATCTGCAGACACTGTGTGTGTGTATGTGTGTGTGCGTACGTATGTGTGTGTATGTGAGTGTGTGTGTGTGTGTGTGTGTGTGTGTGTGTGTGTGTGTGTGTGTGTGTGTGTGTGTGTGTGTGTGTGTGTGTGTGTGTCCATATTGATGGGAGGAAACAGACTGAGCAGAATCCCTCGGACAGAGCGATTAGGCTCCACTATATAACATTCTGAGACCTGCTGCACAAATGTACATCCCAGATTCAGACTTTATTTCTCCCAGCAGCTAACGGCCATTATGAACGAAATATTTATACTTCTGTTTGTTTTTTTTTTGTGTGTGTAGTTTTTAAAAGTATTTTTTACATTTCAACCAAACGGGCCTGACTTGTGTCTACGAAGGTTGAAAAGCATCCTAAAACTAGACAGGGAACCTACCCGGAAGATCGAGATTCAAAGGTGACCTTAGAGCGTGCCGTTAGTTCCTCGATTTTGAGAAAAGCATCATTTATACTTTATAAAGTGCAAGCTGTTGCTATCTTTTTAGACCGCGTTGAATCCCCATGTTATAAAATCGTTAAAGAGGTTATTTACGCACAGTGTTACAGGTATCTTTTTCCAATAAGTGACAAGGTCATAAGTAACTACTGCACTATTAGTTGATGTAACAATGGTGTACGGTGAATTCCTACTTAAAATTGGTTGATTATTTTTTAAAAATTAATTTTGGGGCGCTGAATTCGAAAATGATACTCATGTTTTGTGTTTAAGTCCACTTTTTTAAAATACAGCTTGAGGCTTTTCCCCCTTTTTATATAGTTTTTTTTTTAAAAAGACACAAGGCTGCAAATAAGTTTTATATAGTTGCATGATGCAATTGTAAGAAAATGTCATCAGTTTTTAAGTAGCATGATACAACATTTTTCTCCGTGGCCTCATCATGACCATTTAGTTTTCATTCAGCAAACACAGTGTATCAGAACCACAAACAGCTCATTTTACTATACTATACGTCAATAGTAATTATTCCTCTCCATTGTGTAAACGATCCTGACAATTTCTATTCGTGAGGCAGCGCTGTGGAATCAGGCTCTCGTCAAAATAATCAAACTGAAGAAACCTGCATTTTTCCGCAGGTTTGTGAATTTTTATCAAATTTTTGTTTTTGGGCTCAACACCTTTCTTGCCCATTAAATAACTCATTTCTGTGTGGATTTTTCTGAAAAACGTTGATAAAAGGCGCAAAAAAACGTAAATTTTCAGTTACCACGAACTCTTAAGCTAATGAAATAACTAATCTTTGGCCACAATTTTCTCACTAATGTTACCTCTGAAAACAGGTGACCCCATCCTCATTCATTCGCAAATATCTCGACTTGTATTCAAGATAAATGGATATTTTTTCCATATCAATAAAGACCAGTAAACAAGCTTTAAGATGATACCAATAACTCTATATGCCCAAAAATGACGAGAGCCTAATTCCACCACGATGTCTTACATTTATTTTTTGCGGGGAAATAACCTAAACTGCAAAGAAAGGAGAACGATATCAAGCTTTATAGGGCCTGTGATCTTGTTTAGATCCAATGTTAGAGACAAAGACAAATGTTGGGCTCCTTACCTAGGTTGTAATAGCTGTGTCACAAACCATTCTCAGCGGTTGCAAAGGAAAATAAAATATCAATGCCCTTTGCAGTGACAGTAGTTTGGCGTGTGCCAATCAATCATTTAGGTTTGCGCATTCAGAAAGATCAGAATTAAGGGTAAATTGGAAGCGTAAAGTTGATTATGGTGATATTCCATCTGCCTTTTACCAAGTACCTCCCAGCAAACATTTAAGCATTTTCTGTTGAGCCAGAATTGAAAGAAGTGGGAGAAAATACTCCTGATGAACAAGCTGAAGCTGCAGCATCAAATGAACCTGATTTTCATCGAAATTTTCTATCAAGAATACACTATAATAATAAATTTTGATTTATCAGAACTCTGAATTAAAAGGGTTAAAAAGAGCGATAGTGAACGGCTCACCGTGGATCGCCATTTTGGGGGCAAATTAAAACAAAATAAAACAATGCCTCTCCCCCCCCCCTTCCAAAACACAACAACAAAACAACAACAACAACGACAACAACAAAAACAAAACTGTTGTTCTCTAAATGACAAGTTTAAAGAGGTCAATATAGAGGGCAGTGACTCACCGAATCTGTATATCGTCCAAATCAACCGAACGACTTTCTCGCAGACTTACAGCTGCCAAAAAGTAAAGCGTTGGGTACAAGGCTCCAGCAATGGCATTTGCTTGCTGACGGTCTGAAGGTATGCACATTTAGAAATCGTGGAAAAGATTTTCGGTAATTTTTTTTTTACAATGAAATTCAACGTTATTGCATCTAATGATGTAGAAGGTCGTATGAATGTAGTGATGTGAGTGATGAATCTGAAGAACATTTTCAACAAGATGCTGCAGCTGTGAAAAGCGATATCAGGAAAAGTGGAGTGGCATTATGTAACAGATTACTGTTGGTCAGCTACAAGATGTATACAAGAACTTGAATACAACAGGTAAATCTCGAAACTGCGAGTCAAATAGGTATGAAGTAACCCTCATATTTTAGTCCTTATATATTATTTGTAAAATATAAAAATCTGAATATCTCAAAATTATAACTGAACGTCAAAGTTCACTATTTTCGAGTTCAAAGCACCAAAATCTATATTAAAAAGTGACGTTTGAGCTAGGAAGAAGAAACCTTTCGAAAATCTGTAGACCCGTGCAGTTAATCATGATCATGACCCCAATGTTATAATGGGGATCCACTGGTTGGTTGGTCCTGTTTCTGTACTTTCCCTCTGGTATCTCTGTCTGTCTGTCTTGCTTTTTCCCCGTACTAAATGGCTATAATTGTGTAGTTGTACTTCTCTTTACTCTCTCTCTCTCTCTCTCTCTCTCTCACACACACACACACATACACACACACACACACACACACACACACACACACAAACAAGCAAACAAGCAAACAAACAAACAAACAAACAAACAAACCCAAGATACTTAACGCAGTAAAGACAAAATATTTTTTTAGAGTGGCCTTCGACGAATAAATATTTTTTTGTTAACTTATCCTCATTTTAATTCCACTGACTCAGATAAAAATGAAAACAAATTGACTGGGTTTACACAGATTCCTTTGCGTTTCTGCCCTTCTGTATTTACCTTTTTAAACATTTTAATTAGAGAACAACGTTTTTTTTCTCTTTGCCTTGCCCTCAGTACAGTGTTCCTCGGTGGGCCGTTAACTATCGCTCTTTTTAATCATTTTAATTCACAGTCCAGATAAATCAAATATTTCCTAACCCCCAGGGTGTTACTGACTGAAGTGTCTTTAGGCCATCCCCAAAAGGGGGACATTACCATGTTCTGCTGCACAGTAACATTGTAAATGGGCTGATTCATCGATGTCATGCTCATAACTGAGGACATTACCATGTTCTGTTACATAATAAAATTGTAAATGGGCTGATTCATCGATGTCATGCTCTTAACCGTGGACATTACCATGTTCTGTTACATAATAAAATTGTAAATGGACTGATTCACCGATGTCATGCTCACAACTGTGCCGGAATTGCGACAGGGAACTGCTGCTTTTTCTTTCCTCATCCTTCCTATCGTCAATTTTTCTCAACTTCTTTCGTATGTTTGTCACTCTCTTGTGAACAGCTATTTCCGGGGTGCTTGATCGTCGAAGCAGACTTTGTGCTGTTGAGACTGGAGAGGTGAATAGACTAAGCCCGATTCACTGTAAGGGCTTCCTTGTTGACATCCACCCCTTGGCGCTCATATGACCCGATGCAGTTGCGAACGCCGTAAAACCTGTACTAAAACTAAATCAAATATTTCCCACGGTCAACGCACATTCTTGACCAAGGAGGACATCAGAGATTGTGATGTGCCCTAAGGTCTGACTCCTAAGGAGAAGGAGAACCAGGCAAACTTATTGGAGAGAGTAAAGATAAGATAGGATAAGATAAGATAGATAATATAAGATAAGATGGGATAAGATCAGATCAGATCAGATCAGATAAGATCAGATAAGATGGGATGAGAAGAGATGAGATGGGATGAGATAAGATCAGATTTTGTTACCTAAACCAGATATATAGATAAGATAAGAT